TTTCTCTAACTGTTTGTAGAATTTTGTTCTTCTGTTGGGTTTCTGGAATCCTAACTATTATATGCCTATGTGTAGATTTGTTTTGATCAAGGCTAGTTGGAGTCCTATATGCCTCACTTATCTGTATGTCAGGTTCTTTTCCCGCTTGGGAAGTTTTCTGCCATCACTTCTGTGAACAGTTTTTTTATGTCATCTGCACTCTCTCCTGTTTCTTCACTGACTCCAATCAGTCTTAATGTTACTCTTCTTTGCACCGTCTAGCAGCTGCTGGGTTGATTTCTCGTGGTCCCTTACAATTTTAAAGCAACTTTTCTTTTCCTGGTCAGTAATTGCAATCTTTTTTTCTATATCTGAAATTCTGTACTCACATTGGTTCATTCTGGTGCATAGACTTTCAATAGAGTTTTTAATCTCCTGGAAATCTGTTTGTATCTGTTTTATGGATTCCATTTGTTTCCTATGTTTGGATTCTATCCTGTTCCTCACCTCCTCTATTTTTTTATCTGTGTCCTCTCTAGATTTATTGATCATGTGTTGCACTATGGGCACAGTCTCTGGTGCTATCTGAGAAATTATTTCTGATTTCATTTTTTTCCAGATCCTCTTTTGTTGCCAGTTCAGGGAGTCCAGGTGGTTGAGTATCAGACTGTTCTGTCTCGTTTGCCTTTGGGGTTTGCTGTAGGTGATCTGGAAGTCTGTTTTTGAGGCTTGTTTATGTTTCTTCTCATTTCCACAGTGTGGGGTGGATGGGGGGTGCTGCTGGCACCCACCTCCTCTGCCCTTGGAGCGGTGGGATGGCAGCCCGGGAGCCTCCTCCTGGGCACTGGGATTGGCTCACCTCCTCTGCCCCAAAATATCTCTTTAGTGAAGAAAACCATGCCTCAATCAAACAACATTGATCAGAAGCTTAAACAATGACATTATGGAGTTTCTCCTTCCTTAGAAGTAGAAATTATCTCTTATGACTACTCACCTGAATAAAATGTGTTGATTTTGGCAAGTTCCTTTTCACAGGTTTGGAAAAATTTTTCTTCAAACTTGGCAAAATACCTCTTTACTGTGTCCTCATCTGTAACTGAAAGGCCAAAAAAAGAAAAAAAAAATTTAGTGTCAGAAGGCCAACTGGGAAAACCAGGGAAATAAAAATCATTACTTTCTTATTCTTCAAACTGACAACTATACATGTATTCCTTTGAAGAAAAAAAAGAATTGTGAACTATATTAAATGAAACTAATCAAAGTCCTCATCACAGAACACAACCCTTTAGCTGAATGATATTCTTTAACACTTTACTATCATAAAACTTACAATGTTGGAAAAAAGAAGTGTTCTAAGACCAGAAGAGCAAGAAACCATTGTAGATAGAGGTAATCAAAGAATATTCAAGGTTTTGGGAGTTGAGCCAAGTAGGATTCATTCAACAACAAATTAAATATTTCAAGGAAAGAAAAAAAGAGATATGAAAACATGTAGCATGTTTCTAGGAAAAACACATTAATTTTATTCTATGTTAAATTCCTATCTGCCCATTTTCACTTTGAGTGTATCAGACAGAGAAAGCAGTGTGGACTAGTAAGTACAAATCAGATATCCCAATGTTTCAAGAGCTTGACAGGTAACACAAACAGTTGAGCAAGTGGATGGCTGCAAGTTTGGTGATAAATGGTAACTGACAACTTCAGCATAAGGAATAGTATAGATTTTTGGCAAACTAGAAAGCATATGTCTGTCTATGGGCTCAGTTTGTCATATCTTCCAATATTTTAGGAGATATCATAAATCCATATATTTTAAAAACACCGTGTGGACCAATCAATATGTGTTTCTATAGACTAGATCTACTTTGTGAGTTCTTTCTTATTGCTTATCAATCTATTAAATCCTGAAAGCACAAAATACGTGTAGCTTCAGGATCACCAAAACCAAAAGAATAAATTGTTCTTTAAGTGAGATCTGACTAGACTCTCCAGATGCCAATCATAATATAGAACTCTCCTATTTCTGGACCTCTTAGGTACTCACTGAAATGTGTAGAAAAAGTATAGTGTCCTTTCTGTACCATAGGCCTCCCATCATACTGCAATTCCAGAAACCCTTAAATAATCCACCTAAGACAAGAGAAATGGTATTTCCCTCAGCAATATGCAAAACACACATACATATAAATTTATAGCACTGGAGGGTTTTTTTTAAACAAAGCTTAACGTTCTAAAAAGCATCTCAAATCTAGCCAATCAATTTGAATAACATAAATGTAAAACACTTAGCACGACAAAATTTTTATATCTATATGTTTTGGATCTAAGCACATAATGCAAGCTATTCTATATTCTAAAAAAGGGGATGGTCACTTTAAATTCCTTGTGAAAACTTAGCAATTTAGGTACAAGCAAGGCTATTAGCTGCACAAGGTCAATGTGTATTACTTTTTCAGAGTATAAAGCAGGCCTCAGCTTTTTTAGAAAAAGCTAACCTTGAGTTAAGGAAGCTCCATGGTAACAGATGCTGCACTTCTAATAGCATCTATCTATAGCTGATTTAAAATAAGAAGAGTTAATATATTATTTTACTTAATTACCTACTCTTTCATTTTTATTTTATTCACTATTGGTAAGGAAGAAAATTCAAAAGCAAAACATGGGTTTGGTTATATTTATATTTATTCTGTATTAACAGACATTTTCATTAATAGAGTGACAGATAAAATTATTCAGCAAAGTGACTATTTAAAAGTTCCTGATCTTAATTTTTATATATATAAAGGTTTATAGGATTACGGTTCAACTGTATGTTACCAAAACCTCACAAATAAAAATATCCAGGCTTCTGAGGAACTAAAACTTATATAATGAACTTTAAGTATTAAAACAAGAACATTGTACCATAAATCAGTCTTCTATGAATTCTTCATTTTTTCACTTTAAAAACTGTTTTATCTAAATTACCAGCAGTCTGTAATCATTTTCTAGTCCACATACAAGTTAGCCACAAATCAGAAGAGGTTATAGTAAGGTTATAGCAACACTGAGAAATAATAGCTAAATAAGAAAAAAGGGGGAGAACTCATAAACAAAATGAGGAAGGATAGTGTTCTTGTAATCTCAGATTTCAAAAGACCTAGTAACATACTAAAACTGAAAGTACACTACTGGGAAAGGAATTAGAAAAACACAAAAGAACACAGATTCAGGAAACAGGTTTGCATATACTGTATACAGAAATTTAGATTATAAAGGGGGCTTCAAATCATGAGAAAAGAGTAGATTATACCTGAAAAAGTCCTTTTTAAACATCGTAACCATAAAGGAAATGATGTCACAAAAGGAAAAGTCTTCATTCTACTAGGTACAATCAGTAAAATTAAAAGAGAAGCAGAAGACAGGGAAAATATACATCTGTAAAACTTAAAGGATTCAGATGTAAAATACTTCAGAAAATTCTTACAAATCAATAGTAAAATATACTTAATGCCATAAGAAAAATGGGCAATTTAGAGCAACTCAGAAAAAAAGAAATAATAAATGACCAACAAAGGAATGAAAAGATGTTCAACATCCAGATGTAATATAAATGCAACTTTTAAAAAATGAAATATAATTTTTCAACCATCAGACTGGAAACAATTTTGAAACAGTGATATCATTTTGGCAATGAGATGGGTAAATGAACACTCTCACCCCTTGCCAAAGGATATGCGAATTTGTAAAATCTTTTATGAAGGCAATTTGGCAGTAGCTATCAAAATTTTTCAGTATGTTCAATCCCACTTGTAGAAAATATATTCTAAAGAAATGTCTGCACAAATCAATGTATTTTCAGCTTGATCATATCTCATTATTATAAACAGTATAAAGAAACTTTACGTTCAATAAAGAGGGATGGTTAAATAAACAATGATATTACATGCCACCACAGTAATTACATTATAGAAGTCATTATTTAAAAACTGATATGAGGGCCGGGGATTTAGCTCCGTGGTTTCGCCACCTGCTGCGCAAGCGCAAGGACCCGAGTTCAATCCCCGGTACCCAAAATAAATAAATAAATAAAAACTGATATGAATACTATATCTTGGCATATACAAAAAATCTCCTAAGATACACAGTTGAGGGAAAAAATTTTTAACAATATATATACAGCATGATCCCATTTATAAAAAAATATGTACATAAATTAACATTCATTTATACATTCATAGAAAGAAAATTGGAAAGAGGAATACCAAAATGTCAGTCATGGTTACCTCCTGTGAAAGAGTACGATGAAAGAGATTCTCACATTTTGCTATCTACAATTACTATACTGCTTGAATCCATTACAATGTTCATGAAAGACAGAAAAACTGTATTTTATAAAGACAAGGTATTAACTGGAAAAGAAAAAGAGAAATTTTACACTAAACCTTTAGATTATACATAGCAGTATCTAACCAGCATAGCTAGTTGAAAAGACTATATCTGAACTTACAGGTACAGTACATAGAATGATTAAGTCTTTCATTTAGTTATGGGAAGTTGGTAGAATGCTGATTTACAGAACATCAATTTCTATTACAAGATGCTTCCTATAATCTACTTCATGGATACTGTAGGAAACCAGTAACTCTGAAATGGAGAACCTAGGAAATTCAGGGTTCACAATCCATTAGTTCAATTCTCCTATTTTGTAGGTGAAGAAACTGAGGTGCACAGAGTCTATATAACATGAGTTATTTTCCCTTCTATTAACAACAGTCCAGGTGGCTGAGTATAAGACTGTTCTGTCTCGTTTGCCTTTGGGGTTGCTGTAGGTGATCTGGAAGTCTGCTTTTGAGGTTTGTTTATGTGTCTTCTCATTTCCGTGGGGGGGAGGAGGTGCTGCTGGCACCCACCTCCTCTGCCCTGGGAGTGGTAGAACAGCAGCTGGGGAGCCTCCTCCTGGGCGCTGGGATTGTCTCACCTCCTCTGCCCTTGGGAGCAGTGGAATGGTGGCCAGGGACCCTCCTCCTGGGCGCTGGGATTGGTACACCTCTTTTGCCCTGGGAGTGGTAGAACAGTGGCTGGGGAGCTTCCTCCTGGGCGCTGGGATTGGCTCCCCTTCTCTGCCCTGGGAGCAGTGAAATGGCAGCCAGGGAGGAACCTGGGTGCTGGGATTGGCTCACCTCCTCTGCCCTGTGAGCGGAGGAATGGCGGCCGGGGAGCCTCCTCCTGGGCACTGGGATTGGCTCACCTCCTCTGCCCTGGGAGTGGTGGAATGGCAGCTGGGCTTTGTTTATTCTTTTAAAGAACCAGCTCTTGGATTCATTGATTTTTTTTGTTTTACTTTTTTAGTCTTAATTTTGTTAATTTCTCCTTTGATCTGTAAGATTTCCCTCTTTAAACTTGGTTTTGGTTTGGACTGTTCTTGTTATCCTAGTAATTTGAGGTGCATCATAGGTTATATTTATTTGAGCTCACTCTGTAAAATTGTCAATTTTTGCGGAAAGATTCTGAACCCAACTAGGCTTAAGTGGTCCTAAATAAGATTTTGTGATCTATCTTTAAGTTTTAACCAAATGCATTTTTAAAACATTCATGGTGGAACACAAACAAAACATCTTTCAATTCACATTAATGGCATGTAATTGAGATGAAGTTAATTTCACTGGCACTAGCTCTGCTACAACCTAAAGTGTGCATTATCCCAATGAATATTTACCCAATGTCTGCTAGGCAAAGAACATCAACAAATGAAATATAAATTTAAAAATATAAGACTATAAGTCAAAAAATGGCTTAACTCAATAGTAGAGTCAGTGGTATATACTAGTAATTTTCAAATGTTTTCTGGCCCTTATAACTGTAAAAGAATTGAATAACTAGCTTGCACATTTTTAAGTAATGATAAAATATTTTGAACACATTTAAATAATTATAAACAATTATTTGAAATGTACAATGGAATTTAAATGCTATGGTAACTTGGCAATTGCCATTATTCCTTACCAAATATGTAAAGAAGCTTTTCTTTTCTTTTTTTTTTTGGTACCGGGGATCAAACTCGGGTCTTTGCACTTGCAAGGCAGGCGGCGGCACCACTGAGCTAAATCCCTAGCC